GTGGTGAAAGCTCTCTGAGATTAAATTTACAGTGCAAAAGAACAGAGTATTCACACCTATCGCAGCGGTAGAGAATGAAAAAAAAAAAAGGGGGGGGGGGGATTGAGTAGAGATTCTGTTGCGATATTCAGCGTCACAGGAAACACAGGCGGACTCTAATATAGATAACAGTTGACACTGTTAGCATCGGGTATTCTTCGTTGATTACTGAGAAAGGAGACAGTGCACTTGTGGAATTGACCCGAGTGCATGGATGTAAGTTAAAAAAAAATCTTCTTTAGTTTCATGGATTGTTGTTAAATCGTATGTCCCCTGGAAATTGCTTGCATCTATCCAAGTGAAGTTGGTATGTGAGCACCATTCTCTACCCCCTAACACAACACCAATCGAACTGTATTTCAATTATGGCTGTATGTAGGCACTGCGCAACATGTGCAGTTGCATGGTGCGGCAAATATTTCATCATCATCATTATCATCATGTGCCATGCCAACTGGCGTAGGCGCTCATGCGTCTTCACAGATCACGATCCCTGGTTGCCTGAAACAGCTCTGTTGATGATTCCCTCCATGTCATCGTTTCAGCCCATCCAGCATCATCTCTCTTAGTCTGCCTCTACCCCTTTTTCCACTGATCTTTCCAATTGTCATGATGTTCTCCAATGTGTCTCTTCTCATTATGTCGAGTGGTAAAATTCCGCAACTTATTGTCGATAGTCTGTAAACGAAAAGCGATCCCACAGTTTAACTGGAGGAAGAGTGAGTGTAAAATAAATGACTTCACAGGGGCATCATAATCTAAAAGGCCGCCCATGTTACAGTAATCTTTCTCTCCTTCGAGGTCAAAAACCGAATAGATCAGAACATTCACATCAGCGGAAAAGCAAATTATTATTCGAACAAGAGGTGATATTATTCTCTATTTTCATTCACTCTAGGATTACATTCTGTAGGGTTAACATCTCAAGGGTGAGAATAACATCAATACAGATCATTGAAACCCTGTTCAACCGTATAGCACATTTATATTGGGGCACTTCAAAAAGGTTACTAAGCAACTTTTAGTCCAGAAAAGGACTATTTTCCCCGCCTTCAGGCGTTTTGGACCTTTAGGGCTGGACCTATATTTTATAGGTCTCCCTCTGTTAGTGATGTGGCCAACGTCACGTGGGCCGCAACTTTTCCCATGTCTGTACAAGGTACCCGTTTAAAGCCGGGTCGACCTAGGAGCCAAGATCATGTTTTAAAAAAATTTTTAAAAAAAGGCTCGCGCTATCAGGAGCTGAATCCACTCCTTTCCGATCTTCAGGCGAGCGTCTAGCCACTAGACCAAGGCTTTCTACCCTAGTTTTTCTGTATTTCTTTATCAATAGAGAGATCCGCGGAAAGTCGAGAGGATACACAAAATAGGCTCTCACTCGGGATACAAAGTCTCAAATCCTAGCTAAGGTCATAGATGTGTGTGTGTGTATAGGTGAGTGAGTGTGTGTGTGTGTGTGTATGAGTGAGTGTGTGTGTATATGTGTGTATGAGTGAGTGAGTGTGTGTGTGTGAGTGTGTGTGTGTGTGTAAGTAGGTGAGTGTGTGTGTGTGGTGTGTGTGTGTGCTTGTGTGTGTAAGTGTGTGTGTGTGCGCCTAGAGCAAGGGGACTAAACATAATCTGCACAATCAGTGGCGACTGCATTTGCCATGCGGCACTAAATCATCAAGCCCAGCTTCCCTTCCTTCTTCTATACCCGCCCTCCTTTCTGATCAATGGTCGTATATTTGAATCTTCACGTTTATACTGGTTAGTTTCGTATCCTTTATAGGATGTAGCATAACCAACCACAACAGCTCCTGGCTGTTGTGTGGTTTTTCTAGGCAAATTTACGTCCAGTAGTTTGCCATTGCTTTTTGTACGGTCGGCTTTCTTGATACCACTGTCGAAACCAACGCTAGGCGCATGGCTCGCAGCTGGGATCGAACCCAGCATCTCGGCATTACGATGCGTTCGCATCGACTTAGCCACAGAGCTAACACGATTATACCAGAAGCTGTTTTTCACTAGCGTTAAAACGTTTTAAATGTTTACCTATTTTTTACAAAAAAAAAAAAAACAACAACGACGACAACCCTGAGGTAGACTGTCAATGTATCATCATCATCATCATCAGGTGGCTTGTAATCATACCTCTCCACAATATGCGATCTTGAACCTCATGTATCAGGTTGTGTGCTGACATCCATCCCTGCCGTTTTAAAAGACTGTCAAGAATTGTCTTGCATTGTTGTTCCTCACTCTCTTTTTTTTTTTCCAAAGGACCTGCCAGTGGTCACAGCATTTTCCTTTCCTTCTTCTCATAATATGACCAACCCAGGGCAACTCTATCAAAATAAAAAGTCAGTAAAGGACCCTTTCTACAGGGTCTATATTGTATAGACCAATCGGCATTTGGTGGGCGATTTGGTTGGCATCACGCCGACCGCCTTTACTTCCCAGGACTCCATCTGGTACCAATTTAAGGTTGGGTGGACCTAGTAGCCAAGGCCATCTTCGAAGGGAAAGGGGGAGTCCAGTATAGTCAGGACCCGATTCACAGCGAGCGTCTAGCCCCTGCGCTACGGCTGTTCCCCCCCCCCCCTTTTTTTCCCCTTTTCATTTAAAAAAAATATAAAAAAGATAATGGGTACCAGAAAAATGATCTGGAAGGTAATGGTGGCCTACATTATAATGAAAGAATCACCCGTCTAGTGAGATTTGATCCCCAAAAAAATTTGCCTAGGAGAATATATTCGATCTCAGCCTATAAATGGTTGCCTAAAACTTGTTCTTGACAGCGCATGTAGCATAAGTGATATTGAAGATATTAACCATCGATTGGTCTAACTCTTCGTCGTTCATCTCTGTATACACCGGCTGTAAACCCCGGCGGAAAGTACTGCTTATTCGTCCACTTCTGAACTCTTTAGTCTTATTCCAGAATCGAAGTGTTGCGTGCATATCAGTTTAACAGATCTGACTTATCTGTATGTAGACTGCTGGTTCCTTGCCTCTCAGACAGATGCACTCCGACTTCGATGGAAGACATGGGACTGACCCCATATACCCAAAAATGCTTCATTGCGAAAAAACTGGTCCTCAACCACTACTTTCTCGTGTGGGTTACCGGACTTCATTTTGGGAAAAAAAAAACAAGAACAGACGCACTGCATCCCTTAGAAGTGTGTGGTAACATGTAACCGCAGTTCAAGGCAATTGCCCGGCCCGCTAGAGTAGTTGGCTAAACAACTGTCTTCCTTGACTAACATCATTTTGTTTTTAAAGATTAACTGAATGCAGTCTAAGCATACACCCGCCTTAAATGCAAAAGGTAGTAAACAGGAGTGCCAACACAAACAGTGCGACACTAAAAATGCACTTTATTGCTGATGAAAGCAGAAAATACAGCATATTATTACTCGCGTACGCAGAAAGCATTAAAAGTTCTCCGACAATAGGCCACTCGCCCTTTTATGAATCTGCAGTTTAGAACGGAAATCTTCCCTGTGTGGGTTCCGGGGTCCTATTAAAGAGGAAAAAATAAACACACAGAGTACCCAAAAGCATGTCGTAAGAGCCGACTAACTGGGAGCTTTCTTGGAAATCGGAGTGCATCTGCCTGAGAGGCAATTAACCAGCAGTCTGCATACAAATAAGTCAGATCTGTAAAACGGATGCACACGTAACACTCAGGTTCTGGAACAGGACTGCAGTCCAAAAGTGGATGAACAACGAGAACTTTCCGTCAGAGTTAACAGCTGGTGAACACGAAGAAAAAGAACAGCAACAACTGAAATCTCGTTAGGCAGAGTCAAAAAGTATTTCTAATGAAATTCGCAGCTATCAGTGTCGCGCTGTGCACTCAACTCAGTAGCTGGGAGACGAAGATATATTAACTATTTTCAGAAGAAAAGAAATGCTACGGAAACAAATCAGTAAATCAGCCTGCACGCAGTAATGACAACATAGCACATAACACCACAATCACACAACCAAACAATATGGCACAATCATATAACTTCAGAGCTCCAACACCACACTAAAAAAAAACTCAGCAACACACACACACACGCACAAACACGCACACACACACACACAAACACGCACACACGCAAACACGCAAACACACATACATACATTCATACAGACAGACAGACAGACAGACAGACAGACAGACAGACAGACAGACAGACAGACAGACAGACAGACAGACAGACAGACAGACAGACAGACAGACAGACAGACAGACAGACAGACAGACAGACAGACAGACAGACAGACAGACAGACAGACAGACAGACAGACAGACAGACAGACAGACAGACAGACAGACAGACAGACATACATACATACATACATACATACATACATACATACATACATACATACATACATACATACATACATACATACATACATACATACATACATACATACATACATACATACATACATACCTACATACATACATATATACACACACTCTCACACACACACTCATACACACACACTCACACACACACACACACACACACACACTGACATACACACACACTCACAACACACACACTCATACACACTGACACATACACACTGACACACACACTGACACACACTGACACACACTGACACACACACACTGACTGACACACACACACTCACACACACACACTCATACAGACACACTCATACAGACACTCACACACACACACACACTCACACACACTGACACACACACTCACGCACATCCTAACATACCCACCCTAACGTTCCCGATTGGTTAGCTACCTCCCTGCACGTGCACGGTTGCAGGGCAACCACGGAGTTTACGTAAATACACTTCGTATAAAATTTCACCGCATCCGAAAAGTGCAACTCTGAAACCTCACTGGCAAATTTCACTGTTTTACAGTTGTCATTTTCTTCTTTAACAGCAGTTTTTTTTACTTCATTTCAAGCCTTTTAGCTGACCACTCATTATGTCTGGCAGACCTGAAATCCCGGAAGGCTATTTGGGCAGTCAACCCAAATTTGCCGAATTGCGTCTTCAAACAATCACACATGACAATCCGGAGTTTTCTGTGGATCAAAACAATGAACTGGAGATTAAGTTCAAGATGCCAAGACCTATCAAGGTACAGTGCAATATTTCTTCTTTGTCATCATCGGGTGTTAGGGTACAACTGAGCATTTTGTTTTTGATGTCTAAAGTAGCTGGACCAATAGGTAGTTATCAAGGGGTAATGGATCATTTCTTTTCATAATATGCATCAGAATAGATTCAGTATTATTTTACTAAAAATAAATACAATAAAATCAAATTTATAAGTTTCTAATATGCGTCGGCATTTAAGCTAATAGTGGTCCATATGTGGGATGCAACTTTTCTTTATTTGAAGCCCCACGCTGACTTTTGCCGGGGGTCCTAAATAAATCCGTGCCATAAATATGGCCTGACGGCTAAACGGAGTTTCGGGGATCTCTCAACGGGGGATCCTCATCCGCATGATGGCACTTTGTATCACCGGGTGTTTATGGCTTTGTGTGATGTTCTGGTGGGAAACACCTAACATACATACGTCGGCGTCTATAAATTATACTGTGCGAACTCGCTTCGTAGTTCTCAGGTACAGGTTCGACTCCAGTAGCATACCGCCCTGCGTTGATTTTGACCGTGACAAGAGCCGACGGTTCAAAAGCTATGGCAAACTACTGAACGTAAATTTGCCCAGTGAAACCACCAAGAGGCCCCCAAAAAAAATCATAGATTTGGTTCTAAAACGTCCCACAAAAATTCGCAGCTATATACAAGAAACCTGCACGTGTCCAATACACCTCGGACTGAGAAACTGTTTCCTATCTTTGCTTTTTTATTCGGACATTTCTATTGTCTATCTAGGAGAAGGTCAGATTAACATTTTTGTTACTAGAAAAGTGGTTAGTGGGAAAAAAAAAGTGGGGGGGGGGGGGGTAGATTTAAATGGCTGTGCCTTAGTGAGAATGTTGTGTAGAAAGATGAGGTCAGATTTTCAGGGGGAGAAAATAATTAAGCGTGACTCATACATAACTTGCTTGCTTGCGTCAGAGTCATGACATATGATCTACATCAAGTCCGATCTTCAACTGGATAGTTTGTAAACTTTCTTCATCATTATAGTCTCAGGGAAGGGGGTGGAGAAAGAGAGAGAGAGAGTGAGTGAGAGAGAGAGAGAGGGGGGGAGAAAGAGAGAGAGGAAAGAGGGTGGGCGGGGGGGGGGGAGATGGGATCAAGAGAAAAAGAAATCTTGCGCCACAAAAATACCATGCTGAGATTGCGTGGACTGGAACATATTGCAGCTGTCCTTAAGCGAAAACATGGCATCTATTTTCATGAAGAGATAGGGTTATAGCGTACTAAAGACTGGCTTGCTTATTCAGAATTTTTGATCTACATTTTGCACTAACAATAAAAAAGTAGAGCAATACTAATAAACTACAGACATTTATTAACCGGTGCCTGTGCAGAAAAAAAGGGAATTGAATGGTACGATAGGTCACTAATATAGAGCTTTGTGAGAGAACTAAGCAAGCTCCAGTGGACCAAGAGGTGAGAAAAGACGCTACCGTTGGATGGGACACACATTGAGAAAACCGGAGAAAACATAACTAGAATGTCTTTGCACTGGAACCCCCAGGGGCATAGGAATAAAGGAAGGTTAAAAAAAACATGGAGAAGGGAGCTAGAATATGAAATTAGAAAGATGGGGAGAACATGGGGAGAGCTGCATGCGATAGCAAAAGATAGAAAGACTTTGCGTGAGTTGGTTGAGGGCCTATGCTTCATTGGTGACTAGAAAGGCAGAAGAAGAGGAAGAAGAAGAAGAAGAAGAAGAAGAAGAAGAAGAAGAAGAAGAAGAAGAAGAAGAAGAAGAAGAAGAAGAAGAAGAAGAAGAAGAAGAAAACGAGTCTACATCCCGATGGTTGCCACTACTTGCTAAAATGTAACTGGTAACCATTTCAGGCTTGTGGTCTGGAAGCCGTGATCAATGTTTAAAAAAACCCGTCACGATGCGAATTTAAACTCAAGAGTTGGCATGAATTCGGTAAGGGTCTAATCCATCGACAAACATCAAGCATTAGAAGTGAAATACAGATCCTGCTGTTTGAGTGTGGTATCTTAGGTCTTCGTATTAAGGGGTCACTACACGGCATTTTTTCCAATTTATGACAAAAATATCACTTTTTCAATGGGTCCGTTTTTGTCAAATTCGTCATTAGTAGAATAGATTACACACAAATTTTATGTCATTTGTAAACAATTTAGCATTAAAAATTTAATACTAAAGACACCACCCGATGCAGCTTTTTAAGATACAAGAAGTTTAAAAGTCAGTTTTCTCACAAATCTATATTTCTGTTTGTTGTGTGTAAAATCCTAACATCTCACCTAATATAAAGACTAGAATCATGAAATTTGGTGTTGATACTCCATAGACAATATTATAGGGACTTGTTTAGTTAAATGTAGATTTGAGAAAGCTTTTGTTTTTAAAAATGTAATTAATATCTTATGATGCCACATTTTTTTTTTTTTTGACTTTTTCAACAAACCTACATATTAAAATTTTACGCAAAATATTTATAAACATTTTAAAACTAAATAAACTAAACCTGTACTTTTACATAGGACAATAGTTTATAAATCCATCATTTATTTTTCAGTATCTATTTTTGTTTCTGAGATTTTAGGATCCTACGAACATGTTTTTTTTCCCCCATAAGATGGCGGCTTTTGCCATGACAGCCATGATTTTTTTTTAAACTTAAAGTATGCAAATGTATTGACATATATCCCTACAAATGACCATTATACAATAATTTTTCTAACACTGTAAGTAAACCAAAAAAAAAAATTTTTTTTTTGGTGTGGTCACCCCTTAAAAAAGGACACTTTTCCATACCTACAGGAGGATTCGGCATTTAGGGTTACACCTATACTTTTATAGCGGCGTCCGTGGCTTAGGCGTTGCTAGTCCGACTCGTAATTCCAACGTACCGCGATCGAAATCCATTGCTGGCTGCGTGGATTTTTTTTATATTATGTTATGCTGCGTCGCAGGTCGACCCAGCCTAAAATAGGTACCAGGATGTAAGTCCTGGGGAAGTAAAGACGGCCGGCGTAATGCTTACCACATTACCCAACTAGTGCCGATTGGTCTGTAAAAATATAGGTGCTCTTCTCATTATGCCTGATGCGCCTGATTACTTATATTTTTATACATAAATCGGCATTCGGTGGGTGATATGGTCAGCATCACTCTGACCGCATTTACCTCCCAAGACTTTACCTGGTACCCATTTAGGGCTGGGAACCTCGGAACCAAGGTCATTTTTGTAGAAAAGTAAAAAAAATTCGTCCCTGTCGGGACCTGAACCCACGACCTTCAGATCCACAGGCGAGCATAGGTCTTTACATAGTGGCACATTTATTGTCCTTCTCACCTTTCATTGGTGGTATATTCGTAGCTGATGATAACATAGCACCAGCCTAGGCTTTTGGTAACACATTTTTGTAGCTTATTTAAAAATACATGTTTCAGTCGCACCCATATAGTTACTGAGAATTTAAAACAAACAATCATTGTACTATTGCAGGTAACATCGAGCCTCATTCAAGCGAAAGATGACAAAGATATCAGCGAGTATGTGTTCACCCAAACAAAGGAAGGTGTGCTGGCCTTCGTGCTGATGTTCCCTGAGGCTGGATATTACAAATTTCAAATCTTTGGTTTGGAGGCTGCGGATCAAAGCAAATCGTTGCCAAACGTGTACAACTATCTGATACATGTCAAAGATGCCCTAAGACCCGCATACCCATTTCCAAAGCAGTACGCCCAGTGGAAAGATGGCTGTTACCTCTACTCTCCCTTAGTTCTGAATGCCAAAACCAGTCTGGCTAAAGTGGAATTTAAAGTTTATGTTCCCAACGCAAAAGCTGTTGCAGTTGTAGCTGCAGGAGAATGGTTCCATCTCACCAAACACGGGGAGAACTGGGAAGGGACTGTTGGACTGAGCAAGCACAGAGGCAAGGACGTGAAAGTGACACTCAATGCTAATTATGGCAGTGACGAGACAAAATATGCCACCCTGCTAGAATATATCATATAGGCAACGCTGCTTATACTATCTCAGTGACACAGAATTTTGTCTCATAAGTAAGACTATTCGAATGCTCATATATAATCTAGCTGTAATTGTACGCATCTTTAGTTTTCCTTGTCTCCAAAGTAATTTCACACCGTTTAGTGAAAATGGAGCTTAGTGTTTTGCTGAACATATTGGCCAGTTCGATACCAGCTGTACAGGTCGCAATACAGATATCAGAATTGTTGGTGCATTTGCAAGAGCTGGCTGTTCCGGTAGATCCGTGGTATATTCAGGTGCGTATGTTTTGTGTTAGGAAATCTACTTTTAAAGTGCTTTGTAGAACTTGTATTGTTAGAAGTATGCAAATCTTGGACAAGCTGAAAACCACATAATGACAGGGTATATGTGATTTATGAAAGAAAACGAAACAAATATTATGAACTGACATAAATAATTAGTCATTCTTTAAACGTCCGATGAAAACCGTGAACTGATAAGATGAATATTCCGTGGACAGCCACTAGATTTGTACTTCTTACGAAACGAAACTATGAAACTTTAAAAAAAACTTAGTGACAAACGGAAACATTTTTTTGCACACACACACACACACACACGCGCGCGCGCGCGCGCGCGCGCGCACACACACACCACAGACGCACACATACACAAGGGAGAGGCAAAGAGAAAACAAATACTCAAAGAGGGAAAGGGTCGTAGCCTGGAAATTGTTGGAGATCACTGCTCTTGCCACTGGCTGATTTTGTTGCAAAATGACCAGATGACTGAATCATTTGATTATCTGATATACTATTAAATTATCTGCCATATTAATAACATTATTAGTCCAACATCCGCATCAAGTCACAGTTGGTTTCCTCAGAAATAAGCTTACTTCCTAGGTCGACTCAGTCTTGCAAGAGTAAGAGACTACGTCCTGAGATATAAACGGTCTGGGTGAGATGTTGAGAACAACACCCAAATAGTGCCCGTTAATGTTTAGAATTGTGAGCCTAGCGTCAAATTGCCGATGTACAACTATTTAGAGTGCGGCAACTTTTATTAATATTATTCCCTGAATGAGTTTTGGGTATCCTTTTTGGACAAAAAATAATAGGGTCACTACACCTAACACAGTTTCCGGTTTGGTCCAAGATGGCGGGATGTGTTGCCCTCGAGCTTGGCTAGAGACTGTTAATCAACTAACTGACAAGCCGCCCTCGTAAGACATCTTTTATTTTAGAACCAGATTTCTAGCTCTAAATGTTATAATGCTACGTTCAAACTTGTTAAATTCCAAGGACATCTTCAAAATTAGTTAATGGAACGTTAGAAATATGTAACAGATAGGGAAAACAACTCAAATGGGCATGATAAACGTCTAAGACCTAAATCAGGTGGCAATGAGCTGCCAGATATGCAGAGCTATGACCTCTGCCCTATGCGTCTCAATAAGCTCAAGAGGAAAGACTAACTAACTAACGAAGTAACCCCCTGACAAACATATTGTAGGATGCGACTAATCTGGGGTGTTTCTTTCAAAGTCGAAGTGCATCTGCCACAGAGGCAAAGGCCAGCAGTCTGCATACAAATAAATGGGTGTGCAAGCAAAACGCTAATTCTGGATCAAGATCAAAGTCTAGGAGTGGTCGAACAACCAGGACCACTGGAGGTTACAACCGGGAAGAATAAGAATAATAAGAATACTTATTTTTGTGATACTGTCTTTTTAGCGTAAGAATAAGAAGAATACTTATTTTTGTGATACTGTCTTTTTTTTTTTTTTTTTTTTTGCGTAATCCCCCGCAGTACAATAACAACAGCAGCCACACAGAATATCAACAGTTTCATCAGTTTTACCGATTTATATTGTACAGAAACAATTTCTTGAGGCCTCAGAGATGTGGTTTTACAGAAGAATGCTTAGAATACCTTGGACAGCCAAAAAGAGCAACCAAGAGGTTTTGTATGAGGCGGGAGCCCGAAGACAACTTATCACAGACATCAGACGGAGACAGTCATCATTTTTCGGCCATGTTTTGAGAAGAGTGGAAAATAGAACATGTTGTGACCACTGGAAAGATCTGTGGAAGGAGGGATAGAGGAAGACGAGAGAAGATTCTTGACAGTCTTGTTGCATGGCATGGAGGTGTGTCGGCACACGAACTGATACATGCTGTAGGAGATTATGGAGTGGCATGATCGCCCACGCCAGTCGACAAGGCACCTGATGATGATGATGATGATTGTACAGCCTTCAAGTATATTGAATACAATGTCAGTTCGACGTTTAATTGATTACCCAGGTCCAGAATATCAAGATTGTCAGTGTCTGTGGCCTAGGCGTTGCGAGCGGAGTTGGTAATGCCGGGGTGCCAGGCTCGATACCAACTGCAAACCTTGCGCTTTAAGTTGATTTCGACAATGATATCGAGAAGCCGACCGTCCAGCGAGAAATGGCAAACTAAGGTTAGTTGCGTGTCCTTTTACAGGACGTTGCAGAACCAACCCCAGCAGCCCCTGGCTGTTGTGTGGTTTCTCTAGGCAAATTTACCTCCAGTAGTTTGCCATTTATTTCTGGACTGTCGCCCCCTGATACTACCGTCGAAACCAACGCAAGGCGCATTGCTGGTAGCTGGGATCGAACCCGGCACCCCGGCATTACGAAGCGTTCGCATCGACTTAGCCACAGAGCCGACATTGGCAAACTACTGGACGCAAATTTGCCTAGAAAAACCACACAAAAAAAAAAAAAAAAAATGCTGGGATCGGTTCTGCAGTGTCCTGTAAAATATACGCAACTAATAGATTGTTTAAAGTCCCGATATATTAACAACAGTGTCAAGCTAACCTTTTCTTGCCGTGCTGTGTTTAAAAACGGTGTTAACATTACCTTTACTTATCATTCAACACTCAAGTAAATTACTCGTACAAATTGTCTATCTAACGGTTTCTGATTGTCAAATCAGTGCACTAAAGATAATATGACATTTTTGCATGAAAGAAGTTTTAATCTGATATTTTTTAGTGCAACGTTCCAGTATTCTGAGATTGTCAAAATGACTTTTTCTTGTTGTGCAAAGCGCCAGTCAGCCAAGCTATGTCAATGTGATCCAAGAATCTAGTAACAAACAAATGGACACGATCATTTCTGATACAATAGCATGCATGCGAAATAACTACCCATCCATCCATCAATCCATCCATCCATCCATCCATTCATCCATCCATTCATCCATCCATCCATCCATCCATCCATCCATCCATCCATCCATCCATCCATCCATCCATCCATCCATCCATCCATCCATCCATCCATCTAATCTATCTATCTATCTATCTATCTATCTATCTATCTATCTATCTATCTATCTATCTATCTATCTATCTATCTATCTATCTATCTATCTATCTATCTATCTATCTATCTATCTATCTATCTATCTATCTATCTATCTATCTATCTATCTATCTATCTATCTATCTATCTATCTATCTATCTATCTATCTATCTATCTATCTATCTGTCTATCTGTCTGTCTGTCTGTCTGTCTGTCTGTCTGTCTGTCTGTCTGTCTGTCTGTCTGTCTGTCTGTCTGTCTGTCTGTCTGTCTGTCTGTCTGTCTGTCTGTCTGTCTGTCTGTCTGTCTGTCTGTCTGTCTATCAATCTGTCTGTCTGTCTGTCTGTCTGTCTGTCTGTCTGTCTGTCTGTCTGTCTGTCTGTCTGTCTGTCTGTCTGTCTGTCTGTCTGTCTGTCTGTCTGTCTGTCTGTCTGTCTGTCTGTCTGTCTGTCTGTCTGTCTGTCTGTCTGTCTGTCTGTCTGTCTACCTGCCTGCCGGCCTGTCTGTCTTTCTGTTGGCATTGTTGGCATGCCTGTATGTCTGTCTGTCTGACTGTCTGGAGATCAGATATGATAAATTTGATGATTTTGTACTCAAGTCCTGATGGATATAAGACAAAGGGTGTCCTTGAATGTTGAATGTTGAATTAAGAATCGACATCACAGCACTCGGGACACTCCCATAAGTGCTCCGTCCCCAGCATCATCAGCAAGTGAAGATTTCTAATTCCGATGGCACCAGTAGCCGTCTGATTGTTTATCCGTCTCATTCTTTTCCTGAGTGTTGAGCGTCGGCAACATCCCCTGGTAACTCCTCACAGCGCCATTCTCCTCACACCGTAATGATCTATCCGAGTATCCGCACCGTTCACTCGCCCCTAAAGGATCCTCGCATTATCTAGCTTGTCATACCAAGTGGTGTAGAACCGGCCAGTCTATCTGCTTGCTGATTTCCCAACACACCGGCATAACCTGGAGAAAATATCAAAAGGACGCCAACTACTCGTGACCTCTGAAGTGATGCCTGCCACTATGCAGGAAGCATGCCGTCTCCACATTTCTCAACATGCTCTGAGAGTCCAATCACGGCATGTGGGTACAGCTGATTCTCAAGCCAGCGGAAGGCAGCCTTCATTCTCAAACTAGACGTTGTGATATATGCAAGACTTTGCTGCACTAAGCGACGTCAATTCGACTTTGCTATGAAACCCCATGCACTTCGTCTGCCACTCATCACAGAGCCATATGTATAGATAATCACAACATTTGGGCGGGAATTGTCATGAATCATTTGTTGAAGTTCTGATTTTGCAGCACCAACAGGCCAGTCTCTGCACTCACGACCTAAAGTGATTAGAACCCTACACAAGTCTGAAACTTGTTCGGACACCTTGACCCACTCCTCTCTTCGCTTAAATTTATAAAGCCTGTACAAATATCCAATTGTGTCTTCACCTTGCGCCATCAAAGACCTTCCTCCTTTCAGTCTGTGACCCTTAGCTCTACCCAGGGCTTCTTGTCTGCGGCTACTCTGAGATGTGATTTTGCCTGCAGAACTTTGAGCCTATCTGCAATAGTAGGCAGTGCAAGCACAAACGGTGTCCTCTGGTCGTGTAATGATTAGAAGGATATTGGTAAAAACGGTGACGCCTGGAATGTTCAACCAAGTAGAATACATAGA